ATATATATATATTAAAAAAAATTAAACCACTCCCTCTTTAGAAACTCAATCTCTCCTCTATTTAAACAAGTGGTCTTGGGCTAGACTGTTCTGATCTCCTCTTTAGAAACTCAATCCCTAGACTGCTAATGTTACTGTGTGAGAATATATCCGAAGACCACTAGTGAAGATGGTTAATTAAGGCTGTTTTTATTGTAAACCTTGCAGGACTAGTACCCAAAACGGCTGGGCAAGGTCTTCCTGATCCATGTGCCTTACATCTTCTGGACTGGATGGAAAGTTATCTACCCATTCCTTAATATTACAAGAAACATTTCTTTACGCAAGAATGAGATAATTGCACACAATAGAAGCAAGGCATTCTTGGGGAGATCAGAAAAACCATGATAAGTATTATTACTTCTGTTCTTTTGTCAAATTCACAAAACAAGTCTCAATTTCTGATCTAATTTGTATACAAATGAGATTTTTTTTATTTGATTTTGCAGGTTTTTGGCTAATGGGCATCGATCAGTCGTAATCATCAACGTCAATGGAGCCATCTTTCATCTTCACATGAACTCCCTCTCTCTTGAATTCTTATCAACAAAATTGATTAGTTAAGCAAGTTGATCTGAAACCCAATTGATCTCTTCACACATTTTAACTTTGATTTTGCAGGGCCCTCTGGTATCTATGTATGCTAAACTACCAAACATGCTCATTAACAAAAACCCTAAAATCCCCACCTGCATTACTCTCTCCGAGTGCCCGGGCGACCCTGAACTCTTCGAGCTTGTCATGAAATTCAGTTATTCCCAAAAATCCAACGTAACTCCTGTTAGGGCGTGATGCTAAATCACCCCTTTATGATATTTACCCTTTGATAAAGGGTAGTCACATCAATAAAACATGCCTTTTGGTAAAAGCCTTTTGGAAAGGGTTATATAGAGAGACGTGCGGATGGATAGAGTGAAAAGGAAGTGCGCGGGCATGAGAAAAGGTCAAAACAGTGAAGAGAGTTTGGGGAAAGAAAAATTGGGGTTTTTTTTTTGCTACAAAACCCTAACGCCACCATTGGGGCTTATTTTGAGTCATTTTGTCAATATTTTTTTGCGGCTGCAGCTAATCGAAAAAAGAAATCGACTGTAGGTGGTTTTGTGGTAGGAAGTTTTGTATTTGAACATTTGTTGAGATTGTATGCGGTAACTCTGCATAACTCCAATCTTGTAATTTTTCTTCTTGATAGTGAATACATATTTACTGTCTTACTCGTGGATGTAACCCATTTTAGGTAAACCACGTATATGTATGTCCCTCTCTACTTTTATTTGTGTTGTGCTTTGAAGATTTCTCATATTGCTTGATTTCTTGTTTATATATTTTTCTCAATTATATTACACTTGTTATTGCATCTTGGACATGTTATTTGAGTGTTGAAAGCATTGTGGTAGAGTGCTCACCACATCTAGTGGGTTTTGAGATATCCCGATTTGCTCAAAAGATCTGATTGGGTTATCCCGATTTTACAACAAGTGGTATCAGAGCTCAAGGAATTAATCTAGTATTTTTTTGGAAAATAACATTTCACAAGTTTGAGGTGGAGAAGTTTAATGGGAAAGATAATTTGGAAATTAAAAATACAAAATTTATTGGTACATCAAGGGCAACACAAAGCATTACTTTGAAAAGACAAGAAATCGATAAATATAATCGATGATGATTGAGACGAATTCGATATGAAGGAACAAGCCAATGTTCGCTTGTATTTAGCGAATGAGATTTTGTTTAATATTGTTGGTGAAAAGACGACAAAAGATTTGTGGGACAAATTGGAAAGTTTGTATCAAACAAAATCTATCATAAATCGAATTTTTTTAAAAAGAAAATTATATACCTTGATAATGAAAGAAGATGCAAATGTGTTGCAGCACATGAATGAGTTTAATAACTTCATTTGTCAACTTGAGAGTATTAGTGTGAGAATAGATGATGAAGATAAGGCAGTC